AGAAATACCTCAATTCTCATTGAAAACACACTTTCCACAGGGAATGCAAACTTGACCATTCTGTCTTGTGGTCAAACATGCAAAAGAAAACCCCAAAAGTGCACAAACAACAAATGGACAGCAAAATTATAGCCGTGACATACTAAAAATCTGATTAACCTCCAGAAATGTAAATACAACCAAACATCATTGTTACTTATTGATATGTTAAAAAGCTTCAGGCCTGCAAGAATTATGTCATCAGGATCTTTTATTTTTTAGGTAATAGATAACATGAGTTGCCATTAGTTGGGTCTCATTTATTTGTCATGGGACACTCAACAACTCAATTTTAGTTTGGGTGAACAAAGTTGAATATGAGCTACAGAAAAAGTAAATGTCACCCCTTTCTATTTGATAATACTTGCAATTATGATAGTTCAAGTGCTTTTAAAATCCCAGAGACACTACCTAGAAAGTCTGGCCATGGCTATAACAGCTGTTAATTACCAATTCACACAATTATAACAAGGTATAACTTGATGAAAAATGTAGTCACACCCCCCCCCAATGGCCTTTAAGAAGGGAAGATTCGCAGAAGAGCCCAGCACATGTGAAACAAATGGGGTTTTTTTCTCTTTTTCCTGACTTCCTTCCTGCTTTCACCACCTCTAATTCTGCAGAATTTTAGACCAACACAACTTCTCAAAACTAATGAATTCTACTCCAGGAACAAAACTCTGTACAGAGTGTGTTTTGTACAGAAAGGAAGGACTTTCTATATGCCATAGACTAGTCCCATAGGAAACTTGCTGCATATTCCATTCATCTTCTTGTCAGAAAAAGCAGCACACAGTGGATTGACAGATGCTCACTGCATACCTTTGTTCTCAATGAAAATTTAACACTCATACTAAAAACTCTCCCATCCTTGAGCCAGTCAAAAGAAGAGGGAAAGCAGACACAATTAAAAAGAAATACCACAAAATAGAAACAAGTTAAAATTATGTCTCTAACAAAATATTTCCTCTGGACACCAGGCAGCTATTAGGTGGTTTGGTGAAAGCTTAAGATGCCTCACAAAAGCTGTTTATCTCCAGCAGTGCAAATGAGGTTAATGGACTCATTTTCACTCTGTGATTCACTTTCTCTATTCTGCTTTTTTGTTTTATGCAGATAATTGGAAACAACAACGAAACATCATTCTCTAGAGCTTAGTAGGGAAGGGAAGTTCATTTGTTTCCAAAATTCAAGACAAGAAAAAGAAGGAAAATAAAACCAGTGGGGAGAGAAGAATAGTTATATAGAAAGGTAATAGGCAATTAGCACCCACCCTCCCACATACACCAGCACACATTCACGCAATGTACAGAAATGCCTGATCTTAACACAGCTTCCCCTAACACATGGGGCTTGAATAAAACATCACTTCTGTCTGCCCCTTCAGAGGATCTGAGTAGAGCTGGGAGACAGCACTGGAGGGGCACAAAGCAAGGGGAAAAAAGGACTATAACTATAATGAACATGGGGTATTCTCTGACAGAGAAATAAAGAATATTTATATGAATTCCTCATGAGTTACTTATGATTTTTCAAAATTAGAAAAGTTAGTTCTATGGGCAGGAGACGCAAAATATTCTGATTCCCACATCTCCTTTTTCAAATACTGCTGTACATGTTGCAAAAACCTGGGTTTGCTGGTCAATGACAAGCATTTGTATTCAAATGAATGACTAAACTGAGGAATAACCAGAACATGTTCAGGAACTAGTTTTGAGGGAAACTGAGAGAATGACCATGTTCAACTTATCCACTCAATCTTTAATCCATTCCCAATTTTGATGGATTGTTTATTTTATTATGAAACTAATATGGGATATTGCCTGGAAAAAGTCACAAAAAATACATGAAAATTATATTTTTTTCTGAAAAATAGATACTGTCTCTAAAATTCAGATTTAAATATGTTACTTCTCTTACAGTAAAATCTGTAGGTAATTTCACAGAAAAGGTATATCTTGTGTTCTCCTTAGCAGTGTGAGGCAGAACCCATTTCATTGTAATTATTTTTCTCTTTCAATTTTCCAGTATATTTTTGACACAATATTGTACTGCAATGCTGAAATGCAACTTTGAATCTTTTCTTCAGCAAAGACAGCATTGCCTGTAGTATATATTTGCTATATTGACACCAGGAGACAGGAATAAAAAGAGGCACAATATTTTGGAATCACGGAAAGGGAAAGTTTGCAGAAGAGAACATTTGCATACATATAGTATCTCCTTCAAAGATGAAAATAAGAATATTTCAATTAGAAGGGAGTTCAGAGCATTCTGGAAGTGCTGTACAACATCTCCAAACACAAATTCAACGGACTGAGCCTTCTCAGTATTTTGAAAGATCGAGTAATACAGCAGTGGGATTGGATGAATATTGTAACACTGCCATTTTAAAAACTCATCATTTAACTTCTGCACCTGTTATATTTTCATAATACAAAGACTTAATAGTCTAAGTAGCTAACTATTGTATTCAGTTCTCTAGCAAAGAAATCAGCTAGATTCACTTTCACAGTGAAATGTATCAACACCAAAAAATTGTTAATTCTTTCTCCAAGTCATCTAGCAGTATGCAGAAAACCAAACATACTGTTCTCTGAATTTGAGGAAGTTTCCTTATCAAATACAGGTATTTGCAGAAAAGAAGTATTTGATGCTTTCTTAACAGAACTTATTCCTAATGAAACTAATGAAAACATCTCCTTTGATGACTGCCTGGCCCAAATGTTTGAGGTTCCCCACTATTCTCACCTCTATATCCTCTTCTTGCAAATATTATTTATCAAAAGGCATTACTTGGAGTGCTTGTAAAGAAAAATAAGGAGGAATGTATACATAGGGAGGGAGCAGAACAAAAATACCTTTGCCTTAAGGCATCAAAAAGATAGACTTGAAGTTGCAAGAAATCTCTAATTAACAGATAAATATAGCAATATTCATGTGAGAACATACTAAAATACATGGGTTCTATAAATAAAGCTTCTGCGGATTCACAGCCTCAGACAGTTAAAATGCAATAAGTACGGTGTGGCAAATGCAGACTTATTTTGAAATAAAATTGGAAGTTTTGAAATAACAGGAAGGTCAGAACACCACTATCCCTTTCACATGCCTTTAGAAGACCTTTAAGACAATAAAACATAATAAGGAAAAACAAATGGCTATAGTTTATGCAACAGGACCATGCATTTGGATGAACAGATGTGAGAATGAGACTTCAGGGAATTCATGATTGACCTTCATACCCCACTAGAACAATATCTACACTTACACCTTTTTATTTTAAGGAAGGATGATGGAATTGGAAAGTACAGGTCAACAATCACAAGCAGATTTCACAGTACAGCTGAAATGACAACAAATCACTCTGACTTTTGACTGAGAAAGGGTATAAAACTACTTGGAGGAACTAGACAATCTATCCCTCACAACCAAAGAGTCAGAGGTAAAAGACATTTCAGAAGAAATCATTCAATCTCACTCTCTCCAGAAACGTAATAATGAACTGGGGATTTTACCTATCAAAATTAGAAGAATTTGAAACTGGATGTATTACATATGGCATTTCTTCTCATTTTCTCCTGTGTGCTTAATAACTTCTTTTAAATGGTGTGTCCCAGGCTGTTCTGACAAACTGAAGGTACTATGTTTTGACAACTAAATAATTTTCATGCTTTAGCATGTGGCAACTGGCTATGCTAGAACTCTTCTTTAAGGCAATATGCTAAAAAAAACCCCAGCAGTAGCTAAATTAAGGATATTGGAAAAGTTGCATGTTGGAGCAACAGGAAGTGTAACTATCATGACAGACCAACTTTAATTTGATAATAATGAAATGAAAATAACATTGAAAATATTTTTCCCTTTCTATTTAGGGTACTTCGTACACCACCAAATATTTCACCCCTGGGGTGATGTTATGACCATCTATATTATCACGTTTACAATTCCTTTCTATTAAGTATGCACCTTGTAAATTTGTACATGTAAATTTGACCAAAAAAAAATCAACTTTCAGCACTGAAAAATTCTACTTTTAAAATTTGTGTTTTCTGTCTGAAGCCTTCATGTACAACCTCACATGTGGTACGCTGCAAAAGTGCAACTTGAAACTTTTTTATCTCAACATCTGAGCTTGCTGAGAATTCTGCTAGAACAAAGATTGTAGGTCATTGCTTAATTGGATGTTTTATAAAAAGATTGGCTAATAGTATGAAAAGTAGTACTTACAGTTGATTCTAAAAACCCTTAATGACTTTCCCCTATAAGATAGTAAGTAGTGCATCAAAAATATCTTTGGCATGCTGATGCACTTTTTAATCGAGAAATTTAAATATTAAAAAAAAAATCCAAGAGTTTTGAGGCTTTTTGATTTTCATAAATTCTAATATAGAAGAGCGAGAGGAATAAACATTCAAGGTACAATTTTCAAGATCGTTTTTTACCATATGAACTGTCAACAGGCAGAAATACTGAACAATCTAAGGCTTCTACTTCAAGCCATGCAAGCTTCCTAATTACCCACAATCATGACATCTCTTAAAAATCAGCAGAAGGTTAAGACTTGTCCAGAACAATGATTTTTTTTTTTTTTGCTTGTTTTGGTTTGGTTTTTTTTCAGACTTGAAAAGCTGTTAATTTCTCTCCTCAGTGCCTTTTAATTGAACTAAAGTCCCCCTTTCTCTGAAACATTCAGAGAAGATCTGAGAAATCATCTCAAATTAGATTGACCACTGTATAGAACTTCTCAGTGTTTCTTTTGTCAGGATGAGGAGAAGTAAAAAGATTCTTAAAAATGAAATTAAGTTCAGTAGTTTACTCTTTGATGAGCAACACCTAGGCATTTAACACATAATAAAATCCACATGAATGAATTACATCCTGAGCTCCATTTGACCTATTATATAGATTAAAAGACAGAGCACTTTAGGTACATATTTGTTTTGATATTTTTTTTTTACCTCCAAAGAAATATTTATCGCCAGTCTTAACTTGTAGAGGACTGTTTGTTCGAACAGCTGAAGCTTCGTCTCCATCTATGGTGAGGACGGCAAAATTTTCCTTAGCTAGGAATCGAACTTCATGCCACTGCCCATCATTGAGACCAGAGCCTATAAAGAACACAAAAATATTGCAATATTTTAGTTAGTCCAGTATTTATTATCTCTAATTGTTTTGTGGGTGTCTCTTGCAGGCTCATTATATAAGGCTTAATAATGGCTATTGCAGAAATGAAATAATTTTACTGTGACAACAAAGCATTGTTATTAAAATACCTATTACCAAAAACTCCACATTATATCATAAATACAAGTCTTGTAACTACCAAAGTGTCCATGCTGCCAGGCATAATTGTATCTAACCACAGATGTTGTCACTCACCTTCCCCATCAAAAGGCCATCTTCTGCATTTCATTAATAAAGAATATGTCTTAACTGCTTCTATGATCAAGTTTAGAAGGAAAATATACTATTTCATCCATTTAACCATAGTCAGTAACAAGCCCAAAGGGCACATTATGCTCATGTTAGACATGTATCAAGTTAGGTATTTCCAAGAAAAGGGAAAGCAAAAATAGGAGCGGGGAATGCTCACATAGATGGTGAGTTCACAGCTAAACCTGTCACTGAGACGTGGGGCTACTCACAGAAGATGAAGGCATTATCACAGAGGCACTGCAAAACCAGAAAACTTCTGCCAAAACCCACAATCTTAGGGGAGCACCACCCTCTCTGCGCTAACAGCAGTAGAGATGATGGATTTTTTCATTCATTCAGATGTTTTTTTTAAAAAAAATCCCGGCTTCATACACTTCTTATATTGTCTCCAGCAGCTGGCAGGAAACCAATTTTTCTGGCAAGTTAAGAACTGCAGAAGGGTACTAGTTTGTTCTAGTCATTACCATGCAGATAGGTTATGTCGGGTCAACAAGTAAGTAGCAAAAGCTCCAGTAAAAACAAATTCCAAGTTATAGCACCTCTTACAAGTGACATTTTCTTCACCTATATAAAGGTGCTAAGTCACCTTAGCAAAATGTCATTTGCCAAAATAAATCACAATGCAATATAATGAGCTGTTTCTAAAATTAAAATGGGTTGTACAATATCAGCAGAAGTATAACAGAAGATAAACTTTTAAAATATTCAAAAGAATATTACCTTCTATGAACAAGGAATAATAGTCATAGCAAACAGATATACCTAAACAATTAATATTTTTTTGCTAAAGTTTTCACACCTTTGTTTAAAACACCAGATCAAGTCCTGAAATAACATGGGGTGTTATACCCAGAATATTCTTGGAATATTCATTACTATGAATAAAAGTGGCAGAAGCCTCTTAAAAAATGTATCAATAAGAAATGTTTCTACCAAACCTGTTCCAACCTACGGTAAGAACAGCTGAAAGACCTAATATACTAAACAGGAAAGAGATTTTCTTTCTGTTTGTACACTATTTTTCTCTCATTTTCATTACACTTGAAAAAGAAGAAACAGAAAAAAAATAATTAAGACCAAGATAAAATTAATTTCTATTCATAATAAACTAAGAAAGTAAAAGAAGACACAAACTTGTATAGACTTCCAAATCAAAATTGTTACAGCATGTGTTACTACAACTGCAGTTTATGAGAACATACTTAAAATCCCACTTTTCCAGCCTGAGGTGACCTAATATTAAAAAACTTTTTTTTTTTTTTTTTTTTTTTTAATCAAGGTATTCAGTATTGACGTGAATGGAAAAACAGTGACTAGAGATTCCTGGACAAAATGAAATATTCGCTATTAAAACACGAGGGCCAAAAGCAGTGGCATGAGCTGTTCAACTACAGAGGGAAGCATGTCTAAAAAAGACTCTCTGGAAAGGCGGATATTGCAGATACCAAGACACAACAGGATATGAAACAAGAGTGTGTCATTCTACCTTGCACCACCATTTGTATTATATCAAAGGAGAAAACTTTGCACATTAGCAAACTCTGACTAGAGAAATTATGTCACATCTCCAGGGATTCTTCCAAAAATGTCCACCTCCTATGAACATTTGAAACATCACTGGTTTTCTTTTGCCTCTGGACAGAAATTGCAGTTGTATGTGATGTATTTATGTGGCAAATGTCTCTCTCTTAAAGCTTTCATAGCAGGAACTTCCAAATACACCACTGAGCTTGGGAAAGGGGGAAAGAGAGGTGTTGTTCTACTGATTGTTTCATGAATTGGTTGTGATGGAAATGATGTACGGACTTGGCTTGGGGAAAATCAGTTTAATTTATTGCTGAATAAAATAGGTGTAAGTAAGGAGAAACAGAGCTCCTCCATACTTCTAGGTAGTGTTTGTACTGTGCTCTCCCCATGTGCAGTGAAGAGAAAATACCCCAAGTTGCATAACACCACCCTGAGAAACTGAGCTTGAAATGACTCAAGGCAAAAGCTGATGGAGGAAAGTGGATCAGCAGAGCAGGTGGATCTGCTGAGCAGACTGAGAAATGAGGGCACGAGGAGAGCTGCAGGTTATGAGCAAAAACTGATTTAACGCATTTTCTCTGCACAGCATTTAGCAAAATATACTAAGGGGACGTAATGCTGTCTGCAAGCTGCTAAAGGCATGATTGGAGAAGCATTGGTACTTTGTATTAAAAATATTTGCCCCTACAAGTTGGCATTATTTCCATCAGTCCCTGAAAGATGACGCTGTTTCTGCATTATGAACTCTTCAGTATATTCACACAATTTAACTACGAGTCTGTCTTCTTCTCAGCTACTTCTTAGCTACATAAGCTTCTTCTTATGGAAATTTGCAGTATGATTGAGGGGTAATTTTTGCTTGGACTGAATATTTTCTATAAACCAAGACAATATTAAGAGTAGAGCATGGCTCTTTATAATAAAAAAAAATTTCGGCTGGAAAGTTTAGCATGGATAACTAACATCCCAAATGCACAATGATGATTTCTCATTGCAATTTTATTTCCCTTATCTGAGCTGATAAATATATTTATTTGCTTTTTGGTATACAAGTTGAAAAAAAAAAAAAAAAGACAGGCATACTGCTGCCACCACAAATTCCCTAATGAGCTCTGGAAAAGATTGTTTCATATGCAAATTAAATATGTTAATAAAGTGCATTCTCTCTATCTAGGATTTCTATTTCAATGACATTAAAAGTAGGACTCTTGAGTTAGGCACTTTGATTGAACAAGAAGAAACAGATGTTTTGCTTATTATAGACATGGAAGAAGAACTAGATTAACTAACAGAAAAAAAGTACAAGAGTTTAATACGTAATGGAGAATGTAGAAAGATAAGATCTAGTTGAATTTTGCCTTGAGGAAAACGACAGTAGCAAAAATCTCCAATTCTTCTACAGTTAATCTTGTGTGCTCAGATCCTCCTGTGAAAGGTACTGACCAATGCTGTGGTTATTAATGAGTTCTAGATTATATAGGGTGATGATATATATGGACAAAATTCTTCTGAAGTTAAAAGTATAACATCTGCTACATTAGAACATTGTCATAATTTTGATATAGGACCTAAAATTCGGTGGAAATGTTTAAGAACAAAACTCCTGCCTAATCCCTCATTATTTCAGTACACCTTTGCAGTAATATTTCTGACTATAAGAATACAAGCCAACAATATCTTGTTTGAAACATTCAACTGTGTTCGAATATACAGCAATATGTCATTAATATTCAATCAGAAAAATAAAAAAAATCATCAGGATGTAATTACAAGAGCCATGCTTTTCTGTGTTTAGTTAATCATGTTTTTAAACTGGAAAAGCAAAATCACAGCTTTTCTATAGTAAAATTTTATATATTTAGATTTATGCAATAAGCTATCTAAGTATACCATCTTTTGGGGATTTATGATTCATAAAAGTTATATCCATTTTAAATTTTATTAATTTTTAGCTATCCCAATGATCAATAAGCTAAGACAGTGGCAAATGAAGTTCTTGAAGGTATTTTAATGAGGGAAAATCTTGTTCTCCAACAAAACCAAAACATTATGACAAATTTTGCCTTCATATTTAAGCTCAAGGTTCTTTTTTAAGGTGAGTAGTTGGAAACATGCCACAAGTTTGTCCATTGATGACATTTTATTTATACTGATTTTGATAATCCTTATCCAATCTGGTAATTTAACTCTTTGTCCTACATACACACTTCATAGAAGAAACCTCCAGATTTTTTTTCCTGAAAATGATATAAATTTCTTTTCTTGTAAATTTTTAGAAATTCTAGAAACAGCATTATACTCATAAATATATGTCATTTTATAGTTTTTACACCTGTCAGATATCATTCTGTACTGAACTTATTATTATTTTTATATGCTTAGCATCTTAATTTATTTATTTATTTATTTATTTAGATTGAGGTGGGCTAATCAGTACTTTCTTTTCCATATTATGGAACCTAAAGATACTTGTTTTATGGCTATTATTCTGTCATATTTATCCACATATTTTCACTTTTTGGGAGAAGGCTTTCTTAATTAAAAAACACTTTCTCATCACTACAATTATTTATAACATTTACTATATCTTTATTATTTAGATGGATAAATTTGAAAAGAATAGTGCAGATAAACTACGGTACTTTGCCTTATCATTGGACTAATCAAGTTCAGATATCTATAAAACCATGAAAGAGATAGTGCTTATTCTGTGTACATTCATGATGGCTAGATGTTGCAGACAGGGGAAGAAAGTGAATCCCTAACTTTCAATTTCATAATGTATTCAGTGAAAGAAGCATAGAATAATTCTAGTTCCCTGCATTTTCTCACTGGTGTCCAACCTGAACACTTTCACTTTGGTGTAAGCAGCATGCTTAACTGAAAACAAAACAGAACTTGCTGTGGAGGGTTATGTTGGTAAGAAAAAGGAGGTACAAAAAGCTGAAAAAAACCTCCTTTGGACTGAAAGTAAATAGGCATTTTCTGACCAAGGGCAAAAATCAAATGTAACTTTGTTTTGATATTTGAGAAAACCTTCCCAGCCTTGGCTCTGAATCAACTAGAATATTTAAGAGCATGTTTTGGTAGGAGATAACTCAAGGGTATAAAAGCTGTGCACATCTTTAAGTACTCTGCCAAAATG